CTGTGATGGGCACATGAAGGAAAATTTTCTCGTTTCAAAATTTAGGCATTAAAGGCACGAAGCTTTATTTTCTTAGCCAGCGTTTCCTCATTAATAGTATTAATAAATCTATTTTTCATCAATAGTAGCACTACCGCATTTTTTTCACGATTAACAGCGTCGAAAAAATTGCAAAATTTGCCTAGAATACCCATGTAGTGCCCTAAATTAACTAATTCAATTCTGCCGAGTGCCAGCTTCCCCGATCCTTGGCAGCTCGTCCCCAGTTTTTATGCGTTTTTGCCGTGCAGCGCTAGAACGTGCAACAGGAAGCAAAAACACATATTGCAGCGACTCTGTCAGTGTGTGAGTATGTGTGTGTGTGTCTGTGTCTGTGTGCGTGTTTGTGTGTGTATGTTTGTGTGTATGTGTGTGTATGCATGTTTGTGTGTGTGTGTGTGTTCGTCTGTCCGGGTATTTCAACTCCCTAACCACGCAAATTTTGAAGCTGAAATTTTGCCGGTGTGTCCCCCAACCAGGTACCACTCCAGGATCACGGTTGCAACCCTCACGCACGTCTGAGCCCCGTGCACGAGCACGTGAAAGTTTTGGCGTGAAAATCGCTAACTCGGGAACGAGAAAAGCTACGAAGCTAAAACCATATGAGAATATTCCCTGCCCATGCATGACCAAAAGATTTCAAATTCAGCTGCCCAGGAGTGCCCGGAGCTTACGCACGGGCACGGAAATTGTGGCGGGAAAATTCATAACTCGAGGATGGGAAAAGCCAAAAAGTTGGAACTTTCGGGGAATGTTTCATTCTCATGCACGACCAAAATTTTTCAAACTCAGCTCCTTAGGACCGCCAGGGGCTCATGTGCGGGAACGTGAAAATTCAGGCGCGAAAATTACTAACCCGAGAACGGGAAAAGCTAGAAAACTAAGCTTTAAGGGAATGTCCCCTGCTCATGTACGAGCAAAATCACTTCTTTAGAAGCGCCCGAGCCCACGTATGAGCGCGTGGGAATTTTGGCGCGAAAATTACTAACCCGGGAACGGGAGAAGCTAGAAAGCTGAAACTT